TATTGTGAGACCAATGATGATTCTATATTATTCTAATCCACGTAAGAAGAAAAGTTATTATAAATTAAGATTTTATGTCGGGATAAAGGCATGTTATAAATCATTAAAATAACTAAAATGTAAAATCATAATGGATATATTTGAACATATAAAAAGCCTTAAAAAAATTATTTACTTAATTTCTTAGTGAAATATTGATAATTTTGATTTCTTGAATGATGACCAATTGTTGTAAATTAACTAAACCTAAAGATGAATTCTTAGATATAATTAAAAATAAACCATTAAAAATCCTAAACAAAAAGATAAAACTTTAATTTTAAATATATTAAAATGTAATTAAAACATATGAATTAAAAGGTTTAAATCACATGATTGATTTAAATAACCCTTATAAGTAATACTTAATATGATAAAAATGTTTTTGAATAAAGCTTTTGAAGACAAGTGGTTATGTAACATCTTCATTTTAGATAAATATTTAAATGATGAGATCATTTTTAAAAATTATCTTATGAAGAATTTTTATTAAAAAACAATTTTTGAATTAAAACTAGGGTGTGAAATTTTTTTTTATTTAAAGAGAGGGAAATGTGAATAATATTTTATTTGCATATTTTAACCTCGGAGATTAAAAATAAATTAAATATTAAAACGCAACTTAAATTATTAAAATAAAATATTAAAACGCAACTTAAATTATTAAAATAAAATATATAAAACGCAAAATTTGAAAAAACGCGAAATATTATATAATAATTTTTTTTGATTTATCATTCTTACGGAATTTTACATATTTATCATTCCATATTCCAAAATTTTTATATAATATCATTCTTACGGAATTCTACATATTTATCATTCCATATTCCAAAATTTTTATTCCAAATTCTTTTTTCCAAATTTAAAATTTTATTCCGTATTCCACATATTCAAATTTGATCAATTATTCCTTATGATAATAAAAACGTACAGCAACTTTTCAAACCTACGAAAACGTATGGACTCACGCGACTCAAACATAGACTTATGCGCCCACCGAGCGGCAACTTGATGCTTTGTCGAGGAGGGGAATGTTAATTGTGTTGTTTATTCAAATTTGTGAAATAATTTATTTTGATGTTAATTGAGTATTAATTTAAATATCTATTGAAAGTTTTAGTATATATACCAGTTGATTATTATACATATCATTATTATTATTTGATTTTTTAAAAGTAGAAATAAAATTTATTTAAAACAAAAAAAATAACTTGTTTCTTTCAGTAATTTATCTGCAATTTATTTTTTAGTATTACTGTTCTTGTATTAATATAATATTAACCATTTAGCTATAAAATGTCGCAATTATTTCTCAGTGGCAATTTTTTATATGAAAGGTTTTTATATGAAAGTTAGGGAAACGGCTGTTTTTTTCATGAAACGAGTGAATGGATATTTTATAACCAATATTTTTTATTTATTAATTTACAGAGTTGTTAAAAGATACTTTTTAAATGGATCTAGATACAGATACATCGTCTAAAATAATATCTAGATACCGATAATTTAATCAAAAATCTATCTAGATACAGATACCACATTTTTATATCTAGATACTGGATCTAGATACTTGTATCTAGATCCTTTAACAACTCTGTTAATTTATATAAATTAAGTAAATAATATTTTTCTTCTTATTTCATCCTCATTAAAATTTGAAATAACTAAGTAACTTACATGATCAATGAGGAGTGATACATCACCACAGTGACGTAGCAAGGGGGGGGGGGGTTGAACCCCCTCATAACCTCCGATAATTTAAAAATATTAAAAAAAAAATTTTTTTGGAATAATTATATATACAAAATGGAAAAATATGTACGATATCAAAATAAATACATATATAAAAAAACAAATAATAATTTTCAATTTTAAATGATAGCATGGTTTAAATTAAAAATTATATGAACTAAAATATTAAATAACAGGAGGAAGGGGCTATAAAAATATATTGTAAATATTTTATGGCATAGTACCGAGGATGGATAAAAAAAATGAAATGCATATCTCGAAAGATATTTTTTGAATAACAATTATAAATTTAATAATATATTTTATATTGTTAAACAAATTAGATAGTTTTAAAAATTTTAATTAATTTTTTATAATTTTTAATTAAAAGAAAAATCGTTTAATTTGATAAATAAACAGCAAGCTTTTATTTCTTTTGTCGGTTGAGTCTGAATTGTTGATTACAAACGTGAGAGGATATTAAAAAATCTCAGTTATACTCTGATGATTTATCAGTATCGTATGATAAGTTCTTTGTAATTTTGGTATAAAAATCTTGACAGAATAGAGTACTCTTTGAGACCAAAAAATGCTCTGCAGGCCTTTTCCACGTGTAATTGCATTTTAGATTTCCTGCCTAATATCAAAACATTGTTTTTTTTATTTTAGCCACCTCACTGATTAGTTCTTTTTTAACTTTGATTAAAAACCTATTTAAGAAATAGGACCGATGAACCGTTTAAATGGAATAGCCCTATTAAATATTTATAAGGAGATTATTCTAGATATTTAATAATAGATAATTAGCCAAATCTCATGGAAAAGTAGATTTCTCTTTATAAATTCAAATCATAAATGATTATAATTATTTAGTCATAAAATTTTTATATGCAAAACTTAATTATAATAAATTCAATCATAATTATATTTTTTATATGCAAAACTTAATTATAATAAATTCAATCATAATTATATTTTTTATATTATACTATTTTTAATAAAAGTATTGCATTTAATAAAAAGTTATTTATATTTTGATAATATGATCATTTATATTAATTGTAATTGTTAAATTATATTTAAATAATGCTTTCAATCGCCTAATAATCATAAATTTGGCCTAAATTTTGTTATTAATATTCTTTCATTTATGCTGGCTACTTAAGTGGTTAGACACTAATAAAGCACAAAATATTGGCAAATTTTATAATTAGTATTTCCTATTGTTCAGCCAACTTTAACAAAGATGATATAAAGATAACTAGTAAAAAATTTATTATAATATTTTTTAGGGACCCCGAATGCCGGAGGAAAGGAAGTATGGGAGCGAAGCCCCCCAAAATTTTTTAAAATCTCCCTATAGATAAATCCTGGCTACGCCACTGCACCCCCATAAGATATACCCCTATGTCATTTTGATTTAATTTTTAAAAATATTCTAAGATTTAATTGTTAATGGAAACTAAAACTAAATCACGAATAATTTTTTTTAAATGGGGGGGGGGGCGTCAATAATTTTTTTGGGTGGTGAGAGGACTTGCCCCCCCCCTCCCGTGTTTGCGTATCTGCGCCCCGTGTGCATACGTTAAATTATTGCACAAATTCATAAGTTAATTTTAATTAATCACTAATATTAAATAATATAATGGATAGTTTAAGATTGACTTCATAATAAAGAGAACAAGAAAACACAAAATCTATAATATTTAGGTGTTTATTTAATTTAAAATTTTTTTAATATTAATGGTTATCCTTTTATATAACTTCCAAAAATAATATTAATAAATATAAAATTTTTACACTAAAAAAATAGTTTAAATAATTTACCACCTGGTTTTAAATTTAATGTATTTTTATTTAAAGTCCTATAGTATACTTAGGCTAAAATTAAATTTAAGTAATTTCATGAAAATGCTTTGCACAGGGTTCTAATGATTCTAAATGTAAGATTAAATTTAAATGTATATTTTTTTTGCCTCAAATCAAATAAATGTTGAATGGTTTGGCCAGTCCAAATTAAGGTTATATAACCTCATATACCCGGCTTACAAGGAGCCTTAGAATTCGGTTATGGGCTATTTTTTTTTTAATATATGCTTTTTTGGTTCAAGTTAGAATATATGTTTAATTTAATTATAAATTAGCAAAAACTCTCAAATTACACAAAAATAAAATAATATCAATTTTTAGGAATAAATTTTTTGACCAAATTATTAATATAATTTTAAATATATCATCATCTTCCAATCAGAATAAGCAGAGTTGTTAAAGTATCTTGATACAAAAACGCTGAAACTGCATCTAGATACAATTTTATAAAAAGTATTTATCTAGATACTATTGTAGAGGTATCTGTATTTGTTTTAGATACTTTTTCAGATATATTTGATATACTTTTATTTAACGCTTTTTTATCTAAAAATAAAAATATTTATGCAAAATGCATTTTATCATGATTTAAATAAATATATATTAAAAAATATTTGTATTAATATAATTTTAAAAAAAAATATGTTAGCGTTTCCGGCAATGTGATATTTTTACAACTTTAAATCATTTTTTGAATTCGTTTTTTTTAATTTAAAATCGAATTTTACCGGAAATATATTCGCAGACAATTTTCTGTTAACCTTTGAGTCATTTATTATTTATAATAAAAAATATATGGAAAATCTAATATAAATTAACTTTAGTTTAAAAGTTCATGGAAAAATTGTTTGAAATTCATAGAGTTGGTATTCCAAACATGATGGAAATCATTTCCGTTAAAATCAGATTTTTAAATTTATAAAAAAACACTCAAAAAATGATTTAAAGTTGAAAAAATAACACATTGCAGGAAAAAACGACGCTAACATATACATATAAAATATTAAAACTTATACATGTATATAAATAAAATATATAAATATTCAGTAAATATTATTTTTTCCCATTTAAATCTACAGATATCAGTTCAAAATTTTGAAGGATATTTTTATCATGTAAAAAAATATATAAATTTTCGATGATATATCGGTAAAAAGTATCTTTTAACAACACTGATAATTAGTTACAAAAAAACTATAAAATATTATATATCAAGTTTATTTTCCACAAAATAACCATAGATATATTCCCCATTTAAATAATAGTAATTGCCAAATTAAATGTATATGATTGAACGTTATAAAAAAATTAAATATTCTGCATTCATAATATCACCATTATAAAATTAAATACCTTTTTTACAAATATAAAGGAGATCGAATTAAATATAAAACCACTATAAACATGGAATATAAAATATTTTTGGGTATCAAAATTTTGTTGTCAGCATTGGAACGAACGAAATTAGGCGATTTTTTCAAATTTACGATCTCTTTAATGTTATAATAGTTCTTTGATTTCTCAGGCATTCTTACATCTTTTGTCTCCGGTACATCACTTAATTTGGAATTTTTCTTTTGGGGTTTCTTTTTTTTGAATTTTTTTTGAGAAAGCGATTTATATATATCGTTGGTAAAATTATCTATGTTGTTCTCTTTCTGGACTAAAACCCAAGTATCATGCGAATTTGAAGAGTGGCTTTCGTTTGAATTTTCCTTGTCGACTTGATTGCCAATAGCTTGATCGTTATCATAAGAGTTTAATGAATTATAAAAACCTTCACTATCTGTATCGGGGTCAACAATTCTATAATTTCTCCCCGTTCTTACTTTCATTCCTTTATTTTTATTTGGGTAGTCATGGAATATATTTGATGACAGTTGGTTTAAATCACCGGGGGCTGCGATCAAACCATCGTAATGACTAGTATGATAATTATGTTGATCAGAGAAGCAACCAAACCACCATAAAGGTGCGCTTCTGGGAAAAGTTTTATCTATCTGATATATATATTTAGTTATAAAAAAAATAGTGAATTTAGATGATCAGGCTGTTAAGAATGCGTTTTAAAACAATTTAAATTATACAACTATCAAGTAAGTATGTTGGGATTAAGATAATATATTGGTAAATTGTTATATTTCAGTTTTGAAACAATATACTTTAAATTGTTCGTCGTTAAATCGATAATAATCATGGCCCGAAAAAAAGTAAGTTTTCCCATTTTTCCAGCGCATGGCATCGTCAATTTTTACGGGTAAACCTTCCCAAATAAACAATTGTTTTGGGTACCCATTATCAACTCTGTCAAAAGAAGTGCCGGCATACCTCCAATATTGATTACCTTTAAAACGAATTGTTTACGATTAATAATATAAAACATATAAATAATAAATATTATTTATGCATTGAGTATTTGATCATTTAACCTGGGTTACCCCTGCATTGTAAAGGCTAGTGACGTCCCATTAGAGTTTTACAAATTTTAAAAGAATTCCAAAAAGTAGGCAAATGAATTTAGTATAATGGTTGACTGGATCTTAAATTCCTTTAATTTATACTGAATTTTGAGAAGAAGAAGAAAAAAAATAATTAATGTATTACTTAGTGGTTCGTAACCTTTACATACTAAAGTGATTTAAAATACGAAGAAATTAAAATATTAATGATAATTATATTTGCAGTGTTGTAAACGGCTCTTTCGCGAATTTAAGGTGATTTATAGCAGGGACCTGTAGAGGTACCATTGTTTTTTCTAAATAAATACATTTAAAACAAAATTTTTATGAACTTCTTCATCAAATTTTCTCGGCCGAGGCCTGTTTATGAATAATTATGATAATATTTTTGAGTTTCTCGTTGTTATTTATTTTAAAATACCCTGAACAATTAGAAGTAGTAATGTTAAAATTATGAAAATGTTTCCTTCTTTATCAGTTTCTATTAGTGGTTTGCTTTACTAGAGTAGCCAGTTTAAAAAAAAACTATTAGCAACAAAGTCAGCTTTACGCCAATTTTTTTTAAATTTTTTTATTAATATTTAGTGCTTTGTGCGTTATTTTATTCTGCACAGCCCGGCCGGAATTTCTTTAAAATATATTATATATTTTTAATTTGTATAGATAACGAATGAACGCGTTAACGAAGTTCGTTTTTTTGAAAAAAATGATTAACGCGTTCCTTTTATTTTTGACGAACTTTGAACGTGAACGCGTTCCTTTTTTATGATGAACGCGTTCGAATTTAAAGTTCGTTCAATTTTAAATATATTTTTATTTATTTGAAAAATTTAATATTTCCGAATTTTTTTAAAAAATGTATTATTTATATTTTTTAATCGGCTGTGTATTTCCTTTTCACATTTCAATTTTTTTAACACATAGTTTATTAATTTGAATATTATTGTTTATATATTAATTTAATAGATTAGCATAAGCATGGATATTATTATTTAATCCTCATCATCTGATTCTGAAAATCCAAAATCAGATGAATTATCATTATATGATAAATGTTAACATTAACATCCTAGATTGAAGGAACTAATCCAATGCTTACCAAGTGTAAAATGTGGCCAAAAAGTATTATATTGTCAAAATCTTCAGGTTCCAATTTAAAACGACATTTGATATTAATATTAATTTTTGATATGATATAACTAAGTTAAGTCATTAAATTTGAAGAAATAATGCATTTGGGATCTGCAATTATACATCCAGCATTCAAACTTCAATGGCCATCCTCATCTGCCCCTGTAGAGCGCGTTCTTAGTATAGCTAATGCCGTATTAACTGCCAAGTGTTCCTGTCTATCAGATAAATATTTTAGAAAAATTTTTTATAAATAAAAATATCTTTTTATTCGCTATATTATATTATATTATATTATATTTATAATTATTTTATCAAAATAAAACTATATTATTTTTTAACATGGCTAAAATATATTGTATTAAAAAATATAAGTTTATTTATATTAAATTAAATTTAAAAAATATTTATCATAAAATTTTGAACGGTTTTATGTTTGAACATGAACTTGAACGCGTTCGATTTTTGTCAATGAACGTTGAACGCGAACGCGTTCGATTTTTTTAGAAATGTTTACAGCACTAGATAATGGTGATTTAAAATATTTTGTTTTAAAATATATGGCCCGGCCAGGGTATTTAGAAAATTTATGCTCGGTAAGGTAGCCTGGTCTGCAGGTCTCTGATCTAATTAATAGTGCACGTTTTGAATTTCCCTGATAAATCTGATTTTGCCAAAACTATTCTGAAGAATCTACCCTAGGAATTTCATTATGATTTCGCCAAAATTTTTTTGTATTTAATAATTTATAAAGAAAATCTATATATAAAAAGTTAATAAAAATTAAGCTAAGGCGATAATTTGATGAGTATTTTGTTCTATTTTTTGCATTTTAAATCATTAAATGAGCGCGCGTTTTATTAAATTTTAAATCTGATTTTGCCCGAAATGCATTCCAATATGTGTAGAATACTCACCCTATAAGTTTCAGAAGATTTTATATTTAACTTATGAAGAAATTATAATTTACATTAAAAATATTTTGAAAAATTATGAAAAAATTAATATAAATTAAAGTTTCTTCATAAGTTTGTCATAATTATTTGATATATCGTCGATTTACAATTGGAGTGCTCCACTCGACATTTTCAAAATTTTTGAGTTAGAAGTGGATAATAACTTATATATATATATATATATATAAATAAATAAAAACTAGATTAAAAAATATCAATTTTTGCCAAAGTTATAGTTCTCTCAAAATTGATCAATAAGCTTTTCCTATATTATATTTTAAGCTTTAATGTTGATTTTCTCATTTTAAACATTTACGCAAGTGGAGCACTCCAATTCAAGGCCGACGATATAGTAAAGGAATACTAATGACGGACGATTAGCCGAGATTTTTAGCCGATACCTAATTTTTGAATAATTAGTTTTCGCCTATTTTCATGCTAAGTCTAATTAGGCTTAGCCGATCATTTAACCTAAAAACTCGGCTAAGCCATTTTGGAAATGGCTAAAATTAACCGATTAGTCAACATTAATGGTGGGTATTCTACACTAATTGGAGTGTATTTCTAGCAATCAGATTTCTAAATTTAATAAAAAGCATTCATTTAATGATTTTAAATGTAAATAATAACAAAAAATAAAACAATACCTATCAAACTATTGCCTTACCAAAATTAAGTTTAGTTAAAAGATCACTAGAATACTGTTTAATATTCACAGGGCTGGCTGTATCAATTTCTGACAAAATCATAGGTCCGAAAATAAATGTATCTGAATTTTCAAAATACAAAATTATGGTTCAAGCCCTTACCTATAAATTATACATCGACAAAATTTAATATAGTATACTTTTTTCTCAAAATTGATTTAAGTAAAAAGAAAATATCTTATATCAAACCGTAAACTCCTTATCAGTGTTAAAAGATGAATCAAAAAGTTTAAAAATGAGTTTATGAGGATTTTCAAATTTTTAAACATTCAAGCATTTATAATATGATTAAAAATATTTCCTGCCTTTAGGACCTCGATTAAATTAGACTTTTAAAATATGGATCTAAAATCAAATCCAATTAATATAGTGATTGCATAATTCTCAAAAAATTTTAAAAGTCGGTTTTTAAAAAATTAAAATAAAAAAATGTAGTGAAACTCATCTTTTTAAAAATTTCTCCTAAATCATAAATTACAACACAAAATATTTCGGTATTATCAAAAAAATCTCATTATTAAATGCCACTAACAATATAAACATACGATAATTTTGTAAATTAAGTATTTTATCAAGAGAAGATAAGAAAAATTGGAATGAAGTTTAAATCTTTGAATTCTAGGAAAAAGTGGAATATTCGCCCAGTTCAACAAGCTTTAAAGAGATCTCAAATACGGGTTCCATATACCTAAAATTTATCAAGGTTACAACCTTTTGATTTGAAAGATATGGCCCTTAATTTCGCAAGAAATAATAAAATTGGCGTTTATTGTCAGATGTTATACATGAAAAAAAGGTAGAATAATTAAATTAATTATATTTATTATTTTAATAATTCTATGCATCTCAAAGTATGCTTTGTGTTTTGCATTATAATTTATAATTACGAATGAAAAAAAGGCGAGCGTCCTGCTATAATAGATCAACATAATGAGAACACGTCTACCCCATTTTTAAAAATAAACAAAAATAAATGAGGGTTTTAAGTTATATTTTGTCAAATATTATTATTTCAAATTTTATAAAAACGACTTAACCTAATTAATAAAAAAAATTGAGGATATTTAATTCAATATAGTTTTTAATAAAATACAAAATTTCATAAATAGCAAGTGTCGTGTTTTAGAGTTATAAAAATCTAAAAACCCTACGTTAAATAAATATAGAAACGTCAATTACGCTGGTTCTCTGATTTTTGAAAAAGGTCTGGACTTGCTAAATGAGTTACAAAATAATTTGAGAATCTAAATAATTTCCTTAAAGAAATAGAGATCCGGTGGAAAAATATTATCGGCCAGGAACTTCCAAAAGGTAACAAATTTATTTCCGATATATTTAAAAAATAAAAACATATTAATGATGAATTCCTTATTAGAAAGTAAGTGGATAGTAGCAGAGAATTTTAATACTTTATTTTAATTATATCAACCATTTGTCAAATATAATAGTGTACGTGATAATGCATTCGCGATATTTCGCTATAATGCATTCCCAATATTCATTCGCGATATTTAGCTATAATGCATTCCCAATATTCATTCGCTATAAATGCATTCGCGATATTCATTCGCGATAATGCTTTCGCGATATTCGCTATATTGCTTTCGCGATAATACATTCGCTATAGTGCATTCGCGATAATAATTTCGCTCTAATGTATTCTTTCTAATGCATTCGCTCTATTGCATTCGCGCTAATACATAGGCTATAAAGCGTTCGCGAAAATACATTCGCGGTAATGTCTTAGCTCTAAAACATTCGCTATGATGCATTCGCGATAATGCATTAGCGGTAATACATTCGCTGTTATGCATTCGCGATAATGCATTTGCTATAATATCCTTTCGCGATAATCAACATTCGCGGTAATACGCGTTAATGCATTTCGTAAAAAAGTTTCGCGGTATTAATGTGATACGCAATTTAAATTAGCTAGTTTATACATACCTTTAATAAAATATGTCATTCCGTTTCCGGACCAAACAAAAGCTGCATCTAAATCATCTGGCAACCCGGGGAAGCCTTTATTAATAATTTTGGGATAGCCAATATCCAACATTTTATTTGCCGAAAATCGCCAATATTTTTTGCCCTGTGAAAAAAATATCATTAAATATATTATAAAAGAAATTTATGGTAGTAAAAAAATAAATAAATTATAAACTTTAAATAAAAAGGTCTTGTTGCTTTTAGAACCCCAGGATAAAGCGGCATTGATATCACCAGTAATGCCAGGCCAATCATTTATGATCAAATGGGGAAATCCACTTTTTACGCCTTGATCATTCAGTTCCCAATAATACTTCCCTAATGTAAAAGATAGTTTCAAATTTAGAAATTTTTAAAGTATAGATATAGATATATCATAAAAGCTTATAAATTATATATAAAATTAGAGTACAAATCAGTGTGTGCATTATTCATAGTGTTGTCGAAAACCTCGCAGATATTTTAAAAAAAATTAGCTTAATTGCAACAAATTATTCGTATTTTATTCGTTAGTTTAAACGAAGCAAATAATTAATCATTCTTATTTATGCTAATAATAAATTTATTATACGAATTGCTCGTTTTTAAATTTAAAAAATAAAATAAGATATTTAAATCTATTAAATAATATACAATTTGATACACTAAGCATCAAATAATTTGAAATAAAAGAATTTTATTTTTAATATAATTAATTAAATTTATTAATAATATGAATAATGATATTTTATATTAATTGATTCTTCTTATGAAATATTGATTTAGAGTTAGGAGAGAAATTTTACTAAATGTGCATAACTTGCGCTAAGATTTAAAAGGGGAAATATAATTTTTTTTGAAAACCTCAATTTTCTTAAAACAGATAAAATTAATAAAAATTAGTTTTAAACTATTATTTTTATATTATAATAATTATGCATTTTCATAATATTTAAAAACCAATTATTCCAATTAACTGAATTCCGAATAATTCGATTTTTTCGCTTTAAATAACCGTTTAATGCTAACAATTAATTTATTATTCGTATTTGTTAGAATGTTTGATTCGTTTTTGAATAGATCAATAACATATATATTACACATTAGCATACCTCTAAATACAATTGTTTCTTTGTTAGCGTTGACAGTTATAGCATCGATCCTAGGTATTTTACAGATATTCTTTTCTTCTGAGGCGTCATAACTTGGAATAGGTTCAGGAGTAGTAAATATTTTCTTCTCTTCAGGATAGTAAGTCCTTCTATGACCGAACATTTTGAATATGTCAAAATCAAATCCGAATGGGTTATTGGGCTTTATGGTGTCTGTATCTTGATTTACTGCATAACTAGTGGGGGTTGTGGTTCGATAAGTTATATCACGATTCTTGTGAGGTGGTTTAACTAATTTTTTAGGTGGACCTGTTTTAAAAAATAAAATTTTATGTTGAAAATGCGCGTTGAATATATGTTATATTATAAATTAAACATCTTAAATATAACTTAATATTAATTGATATTGATTTTTAAAATTTCTAGGCTTACCGTACAATTTTTGTATGCCAATTTTGTCATCGGCGTCTAATTCTATTGTACCCATAAATGTTTTATAAAATGGGGCCATTAATGCTGTTCTTCTATTTGAATGAGACAATCCAAGAGAGTGGCCGAATTCATGAGCAGCGACTTGATATAGATTTGAACCTATAAAAAATTCACTATTTAAAGTTATAATGCTGGGAAATTAAAAAGTGAGTTATTTAGAGTGCCCTATCTAACCTTAACTAAGTGAGATTAGTATAGAGGTAAAAGAAGAAATAAAATCTAATATAGTAAACTCATAAAAAAGGTGATAAACAATTGAGGTGATAGCGAGCAAAGCCGTGCTCAGACATTTAGAGACCCAGGGCACGAATGAATTCGGTTGCCCATTAAAAGTGATATTTATTTAAGCCCCTAAACAAAATTAGCAAAAAGGAAAATCAAAATTAGCAAAAAAGTAAGAAAAAATAGAAATCTAAATTATAATTTAGCAAAAAGGGGAAACGAAAATTAGCAAAAAAGAAATATTAATTCGAAAAAGTAGGAAATCTAAATCAAAGCACACAACGAATTTGGCGAGAAGTCTAAATATTGAGACCCGGAGCAGGTGATCCGCTCGCTACCCCAATTGTAGGGGCTTATCTGATTTGAATAATGACTTAAGAATGTATATCAATATAACAGAGATCATCCATTTGGAATTAATTTCAGAAGTTCGCTATCTTATTTACTAAGAAGTTTGGTCGGGAGTAAGGTCATTTTATAGTAATGATAAATGTAATATAGTAAAATACCTCGATAAGGGGAAGTAGTCCAGGTTTCATCATCGTCGAAATGGGCATCTCCTCCGTATTGAGGGAAAAAGGCATGGGCTAACACCTTTCCAATACCATCAAAATCTTCCCCATCCCCATGATTGCCCTTCTCAAAACTGATTGTTATATCGGCCTTTCCTTTAGTTTGGTACAAATTTATGTCTGCATGTTGCATCCATACCTTTTGAGCAATTATATTGTGAGTTGAAATGGTATCACGTCAATTCGGCACAGAAAATTCGGCGCAACTTTTTAACATGGTAAATTGGCCCAAAGAAATTGGTATAAATATTGGTTTATTAATATTTTTTTGATATTATTAAATTATTATTGATATTACACATTTAATAAATAAAATTGAGATTTTTGTAAAAAAAAATATGAAGAAATAATTAATATAACCAACATTCAAAATGAATTTTATTTAGTCATTCTTTTTTTTTATTAATAAATTTTAATAAATTGCAACTGCATTAGATACAAGTCGAATTGTCGTGCGCCGAATTGACGTGGAACCAGTTAAATTTTCCTAAAAATTTACTCTTTCAATCATATAATGTAGGAATATTCCATCGACCTGACCAGAATTTTGCTAAGGGAGGTGGGCACTATTAGGTATTTTCCCATTAATTTTATTGAAGGTCTTTAGGTCCATTGATTGTTTTTTTAAAAATATTTTTTCACATATTAAAAATGAAAATGATTTATTTTCTGAAAATTTTAATTATAATCTTATTTTATTATTAACTTTTATTTTTTTTGTTTATATAGTGATATATTGCATATATAGAGAGTGGGAGGTGTATGGGGGGGGGGGTGTTTATTTACTTAAAATGATATTTACAAAAAAGGCAGATTTCCGAAGGGCAAGACATATTAACGCTCGCCTCCTAGCTACAGTTATGAACTAGACAGAAAAATCCTCTCAAATTTTTAACCATGTCACTATAACCATAAAAATGATTTATAAAATAGTTACCTTTTAATAAATTATGCCAAAATTAAATTTTTAATATCCAATCCCATCTTTAAAGAAGAAATTATGTTTTTATGTAAAAAATTATTTAAATTCTTTTTTACATGTAAAGCCTTTTTGATTTGTTCATCGATAACCGACTTCGCCATATCTGATGTGTAATTATCCACCCTAAACGATAAGGTATGTTTTCTCCATTTGCTACCTATTAAAATCATATAATTCTCAATACCAATGGTCACATCAGATCATCATTAGACGATTTATTTTAATTAACAGTAGAAAGACAAAAAGAACTCGATTCTAAGTTGGAATAACTAAAGAATCGTTTAGGAAATAAAAAGGCAGGAAAACTAATATACCAATGTCGAGTAATAAGTAGATATTACTTTCAATTTTTAATCAATTATTATTAAAATGCTGTTTTTTAATTTTGCAAACCTCATTATCATTTTTTATTATAAAGAAACATACATTATTAGAATTACATATAAGAGGTCTACAAAAGGTTGAGTCTAAAATATTTTTAAAACGGGCGAGGATGGGTAAATTTAAAATATTTTTTGGGCAAAATGAGCATAACGTGTAATATTTATTATAAAGTTTTTTTAAAATTCTGTAATGTATATTTTATAAGTTTTAGGTAAAAATATATCAAAAATATAAAAAGGCCAAACCATCTAATCAAATAATTTCCAAACATTGGGCGGGCGGACAAAGAAATTAAATAAATTGGCAGGTGGTATAAATTTTTTTGAAAGAACCATGGCGGGTTAAAAAAAAAGGTAAAAAATGGATGAGTGGGTTAAAAACCCGCTTATTTTAGAGCTTGCATTAACAATGCAGATTGAAATTAGTTTGTGTTTAAAATTTTATTTTAAGTTTTATCTATTAAACAATTTATCATTAAAGATTAGAATTAACTTTGTATTTTTATATACTGTGTCAAGGACAAATTTTGTTAAATAACATAAAATTAGATCGAAGAAATTCCAACTCATGTTCGAAATAAATAATGATAAAGTTAAAAAAACTTCACTTACTAAAATTTTAAATGATGAAACTAGTATTAAAGTTGAACTAACTTGGGCAACAAAAAGATTATCAAAAAATTTGACCAAGTATACGTTGAGAATTAATTAACAAATTCCAAATATATACCTCTGTAAACATATCTAGGTTAACAGTAGTATTTACAATAAATGTGATCAATTAAATTACAATCAACTCTAACAATTAATACCTAAACATGCTTATATAAATATAAATGATGATAGAAATTAAAATAACCAGAGGAAGGCTACTCATTCAGACAACTTAAGACAGACTAAACATCATATAATCAATAAATTTAGAATAGAAATATTGCCAAACAATGTCCTCCATATTAATTGATACGGAATAATACAGTATAACCTATATAATGATGATTTATAAAACTTCATCTTACATGAGATAAAGCAGACCTCGCCACTTGTAATGATACTCCTCTAGTAATTTCAGGATTTATTAATATTAACTCTTATATAAACCAAATTTCTAAATTTCTATTTTATAGTTAATCATAATAGCCCATGCGTATTAGGAAGGGATTTCATGTTCAACTTTTAATTTTATAAATTAAAATGAAACCATCTCCAATTATTACTTGGAAAACTATTGGTGTATGATTACTGATAATAATTAAGAGAATTTTATTGAGGCTTGCAAGGGATAAATTTTAACTAAGAATTGTTTTAAGAGATAGGAAAAATAAAGGGGGTGGAAATAAATTTACTCATATATGAAGTCTCCCTTACGAATGGGAGGCGGAGTTGGAAAAGGAATTAAGCAGCTGAAATAAAGAAGGAAATATCGAGCAAGTTGGTTTTTCCCACTGGTTCACCCTTTTAGTGTTTGTACGGAAAAGGGGCAACAAACTTAGAATAATTTATGTTGATTTTTGTCTATCAATAGAATCTTATGTTAGAACATTTCGAATATATATTATCGAAAATTGATGAACTCTATGCTAAACTGTCAAAAAAAAAATTCAAATCCAATATTGATGAAGAAAATGTTGTTCTTGTTCTCTTCAGTATTTTCAATATATTTGGAAAAAATTTCAAAATATATTACAAAGTATGCAATGCTCTCATGGCGTTGCTTGGAGGATTATTTATTAAAACTAATCTTTCATTCCAAAATCGAAATTCTGAGATTAATCAACAATCCGATATGGCCTTCCGATTTTTTTTATCCTCTGAATATGAGCTAATATTTAATTTCAATATCAAGATTTGATATATCCTAAGACTAAGACGTATCTATTAGCTTGAGCCATTTGAGTATCAAAAATCGTTCCTAAATTTGAGTAAAAAAATATATTCAAAAGTGGGATAAAAACGGCTATTTTTTATGGTAATCTTTAATTGAGCCCATGTTAATATTGAAAGCATTGTTTACAAGTGCAAGTCGAGGTTAGCGAATACATTTCGTAAAACTCTTGGTGGATATTATCTCTTAGTTTTCTAATTTGTAATAGAATAATATTCGTGTAACCGCAGCCAAATCCATATCCTTTTTTTAAAAAATATTTCATAAAAATGATGTGTAATTAAATAATTCATTAATACATTTCCTTACGAAAAAAAAATCGGTTGTCTTATTGAATCTAATAATGTATCCGCGTCAGATAAAATATCTGGTTTACGCCTTGATATTTCTCCACGGGCAATCAAAATAAGCTTTTCTTAATCCACAAATGCTGTAACATCTTGATGTCAAAAACTTCATCATGTCGGACATGCTTTTTGCAGCACAAGAAGTCTTAAAAATAATTCTATTTAGCAAATTTTGTCTAAAAATTATCGCCAACCTCCCGAAGACCTTATTTTCTCCTTATCTATATTTTTTTAGATTCTTTATTTTGTTCAATAGTTTTATTTGCAATTATTATGCTTTAGATTGTGAAGATGAATAATCATTTATTATAATTTTGGTTATTGGCCTTGGGTTATATTTTCTGCATTAAATTTTATTAGTTTTAGGTTTTTGGTTGAAAAATCTTCATATATCCATCAGTGTTTAAGGGTTAAAAAAGTCTCAAATTTATGTATTAAAAAATATTAATACATAAGGAAGAAATATAAAAATTAATTTTAACATTTACAATTTATAATAGAATATAAACTTTTGAGATAATATAACCTATTTGAAATAGAATACTTAGCATTTCACAATTCATAAGATCTTAGATATTTTTTCAAATATAAATGCCTGTTTGAGCTTTAAAATACGATAGATTCAGGTGGGGAGAAAACGAGAATAAATTTTTGAAATCTTTTAACAAAAAGTAAAGTTCAGGGTTAGGCAAATTAAAAAAAAAAATTCAATACAAATAACTTCAAAAAATAATTAAAAATGTATCTTAAATGTAAATTATCTTGTTTCTTTTCTCTAACTTATATCACAAAATTAATATTTAAAGAAATAATTAGAGATTTTGCAATATAAAATAATTTACAAAAACGAAAAGTATTTGTATTTTTTTAATATATAAAATACAAATGCTAAATCTTTCTCAATTATTCAAATAAATACTAAATACAAATGATTTTAAAATACAAGTATGAGATGTCTCACAGACTTTCTAGTATAATATAATTTATAATTTTTTTAAATATTTTAGTTTTACCTTGTAAAACATAGCGCTTAGACCTTCTTCTATGAATTTTGGGATAGGATGTCGATCTAATATCTTTATTGAAATTTGTTAAATCCTCTTCATCATCTGGAATATCTTTAACTCCGCATCTGCGCCAAGACATTGCCTCTATAGTATCCCTATCCAAAAAGCCTTTTAGTTTTATTGTGATACTCTTATTAAAAAAAAATCATTTTTACCTTTTTTTATTAATGTATGTTCTTAATCTTCTAAAACTCTATTCATATTTTTATTTTTGAAAAATATTAGATTTAAAATTTTATCCCTCAAATTGTTTATCTTATTTATCAGAGTATATTTAATTTATTTTATCAATTGTTAATAAATATTAAATAACACCTGTAATATTGATACCGGCAAAACTTTGAAACAATTTAATGGCTTGGAATACAGATGTCTTATCTATATCCGTAAAGGATTCAAGCCTCTGATCTAACATCATATTTGAATCTCGATATCGATTACCGGATTGAGTATGTGGATGTGGCAAATAATTATATTGCATCAAATAATTCTAAATTTTAAAAAGAAGAAAGAATTATATTAATAATTTGGATATATTAGATGTCGGCGCGGCTCTAACCAGCCCGTAAACTATCAAATTTTTCTGCCAGTTTGTTATTATGTTTACCTAGCCCGTAAAATAAAATGGTCTACCTGGCAAAAAATAATTTTTTTGATTGTGTATCAAATAAAAGGTAATTAAAATATTTTAGTGATGTTTTGTAAAAGATAATGACGTAAATTTGCCTATTTATTAGTTTTAAAAACATATCAAAAATTCCCTCCTCCGGACTCGTAAGAATATTTTTTACAATTTTTCCGGCCCAATTTTGGGCTTCTGAACGGGTTTCGTAGATTTTTAATGTATATATTTTAAATATGTTAAAATTTATCAATAAAATAACAGGTTAATCAAGAGTATTGTAAAATTACATTTTATAATTTTAAAATGACCTACAACTACAATTTATTTAAAGCTATAAGAAATGAATATTGTATATTACCACGGTTCATCTATTACAACCCTTATTAGGCCGAGTCGTATTCACGGGTCACGTAGGATTCTGGACCTTACAGATCGCTGATAATAATACTATATCAATTAGAAATCTGCATGACTCAGTCAACAGCCCAGTGTGTGTGTTAGCAAGGCAAGGATTTCCCAAAATATTTTTAGGCCCGGGTACCTGTTTTAAACTAGAATAATATAAACAGATCAATTTTCCATTAAAAAAGGTTTACTAAGGGTCAAGGCCAGATCATGCTTCACTAATACCAATATACATCTATAATTTTTTGATTCTATTAATTAAGATATACTTATATTTCTTTGAAGCATTTAACTAAAATGTATACTAGTTAAGCATTATACATGTTGGCCAAAGCTTTAGAGTTAGTGCTTTAATAAATTGGTAAACTTCATGCTTAGGTCTTTAATATGTGAATCAGACACATATCAAAATTTTGAAATTATAACTAGATTCAAAATAGAATGAGATGTTAAGTATTTTACTTCCATATCTATTAATAAATCGAAGAGAACAAATAATATCTATAAAGATCCTAAAATCAAAAGATTCAAAAATATTTTGAGTCAGGGAACAGAATCCTTAATATATATAGCTGTAAATGTTTTTTGGTGATCCAAAATCTGATATTTAAGCCTAAGGCGTGCCATCATAGCTCTTTGGCTTATAATTGGTTTATGTTTAGAGTGGAAAACTGATTGATAAATCAGTCATATTAATCAAGTATAACTTATCGGTGCACTCAGATATTCAGTGCTCCCATCATTTTTCTTTTTGTATGATGCCAATTCAATTTTTTCATATTTTGTCATTGCGTTTTTCTTTAAAATCTACCAAAAGGATTGGAATACCAAAATTACTTAATACACTTATTGATATAAGTTTCAGAATGCAGAATGATGCCAATTCTTTTCTTATTTTAACAATCCCCCCCCCCCCCCACACTTCCAGCAAGCAAACAGATTAAGGTAATCAAATATACTATACACTACTTCATGGTATGGTATAAGTTTTGGAATTAGTGTTCAAATGCTTGGTTCACTTTATGCTTAAAATGTTTTCATTTTTTTAACTAAGTCTATTTTGGTTCGCAAAACTATACTATCTAACAAACGGATTAAAACTAGATACAATTAAGTATTAAACATTGAGAGATTTTTCAAAATGCCTTTCGTTGCTTTTTAATTATAAGGTAATCAATCTTTTGTTACTAATATTTTTTCCTTATACTGGCTATTACATCAGCTGAAATACGGCCTGAATAAAGAATGAAATAGAGATTTTAGTACTTCCAATTGTTTAGCCAACTTTAATGGAGATGATGTAAAGATATTGCTCATAAAGTAAAATAAAAATAAACATGGGGAAATCCAAAATGACTAATCAGAATTTCTTAAATGTGGGATCTGGTAGCAGGCAAACATGGTTTAGGGTTTTATATAACATCCTTGAAATGAACGTTTCATATATAAATTTAAATAAATTATGGCAATTGAAATGAATGGATTGATTTTAATTACAATTTTTTAATAATGACTAAATATATTAAAAAATGTAATTTCAATAAGATTGAAAAAGTATATCATCAAATTATTATTAATTAAGTTAATTAAAATAAACACTCCTCAATTCTAACAATTTGTGAAGTTTATTTCTGCTAAATTTTAAACATAATAGAGATATGACGAATAAGGTGTTTAATTTTAATGTATTATTTTAAAAAATCTAACAATTTCATTACATATACACCCCCCCCCCCCCAACCCTATTTTTTAAAAAAAATAACATTACACATCTAGAACTTAGCCGCTATCCCTCTTTTGTGATTCATTTTAAATTATTTTTATTGATAATGTTATGTTACATTTGTATATATGACAATATACGGTATGACGAATAACTATATTCTTTTCTTAATAAATGATTATTTTATAATATAATTTAATATAATATGCGTTATTTATAGATATGTTGAACTCATAAAATAAAAAGAAACTTGGACTCTCATTTATATAAGGTATTGATTTTTAGAAGTGCATATTATAATAATATAGTGTAGTGTACAAAAATAAATTGAAAAGTTTTCGAAATTATAAAAAATATGGTAAGAGTTTTTTTCATGCATTACCTAATATTTTTTATAATATCTTTAGGCAAATTCTGTTATAAATAAAACGAATCCTTATTAATTTATTTCGGTGTTTGGGGAGGAAAGGTGTAGGTGGAAGGGGGGGGGGAGTCCTTAGCTTCTAAAATGATAATAATAAAAAATAAAATACTTTTTCAAAAATTCGAGGAGGGTCTTACAAACTTTTGTTAGAGCCCCCCCCCCCCCCACACACAACGACGTCCATAACCTATTTTATTTAAAATATCAATCATTTTCTCTATATTAATATCCTTTCATTTTATTGTGAAAAGCGGCCTTCGGCATGGGGAGAGTGGGTGGCTTCGCCCACGAGGTGCTTATAAAAAAATAACAGGATAAACCGTTAAATAGAATATAATAAATGAAGAATAAGTCTTTAAATGAAATGTTCAGACCCCTGAGTCCTCGAAAAATGATGCCAAAAAGGTCAGGTTTTTACCATTGGAAAAAATTTGTTTTTCTTTGACCTTTAGACTAACCTAAATAATTAGGATGAATAAATATCAGAGACCTGCAGAGTTACCAATTACACGGCCAGGCCGGGCTCGGATTAAAAAAAATTTTTCGGCTGCCTGGGTTTTATATTTTTCGGTCCGGATATATTTAAAATATATTATATATTTTTTTAAATTTTTATAGGTAATAATGGCGATTTAAAATATTTGATTTTAAAATATTAGGCCCGGCCCGTGTACCCCGGTTGGGCTTAGGGCCGAGCGAGGGGGAAAAATATAAATGTGTATCAGAGACCTTCTTGGGCTTTAATTTTTTGACCCCGGCCCAGGCCCGCAGTAAAATTTTTTTAAGCCCAATCCCAGCCCGGCCCATATATATTAAAAAAATTCCCAAACCCGACCCAAACCTTTATCCAATAATTTAATTAATTGTATTTAATAAAAATAAACAACATGTAAGTGTATTTAGGCAAGCATTTTGTTTACAATACTGAAATTTATCTTACTAAAAAAATCGAAAACTCAGGCCTGCTAGAAAATATGATATTAAGGGCCTGTGAACCGTGGGCCGGCCCCGCCCATGAAAGTCTCTGTATATAGAGGTCTTTGCTTAATACATTTGGAAATTTTTTTATAAGGCTAATAAAATAAACACGAAAAACCTATAAAAGAAAAAGTGGTATTAAATGCTCTTGAAATCCAAAAATTATTAAGTTTCTATGGGGAGGAGGTGAGGGAATAATTTTGAAATGGAAAAAGTTTTACAAGAAAAAAAATATTTTAAGGGGGAGGTTTGGATACTCCATAACCCTTCCCATTTTACCCCCATGTTTGAAACATTTCCAAAATTATGAATCTTTTTTATATTAGTTTGCCGTCAGACATCTGAGTCATCAAATTTAAACAAAGTTTTAAGTTTTACTATAAACATTTAATACCTCAAAAATGATGGTCAAAATTTTAAATATTTAAAAATATTTTTTTTACTATAGCATTTGGCGGTATATACAAAGGAGCACTGTTCAAAATCTCGAAATATGAAACGAAGAAAACTAACAGGCAGAGAAGGTATCTTCTATAATGGAATATCCTATCGAATATAGACATAATTTTCTTTTCTCGATATTTTTTATTCAATAATAAGATTTTGAGTGGATAAAAATTATTGTTTATTTATATACTATAATATTTATATTTTTTGTTAGAAAAAATATTTATAGTTAATTATAATTTTAAACTAGATCATAAGGAAATGGATCATTAGTTGTTAATTTTTGGAATATTAATGACCGGAATTTTTTTAAATATTAAAAAAATATGACACAGTCAGCAGAGTTGTAGAGTATAGTATATAATTGTATTTTAAAATGAGGAAAAAAGTGAAATTTTTTTTAATAATGTATTTTGTAGTCGTTTCCCTCGATATTTTAAATTATTTACCTATTTTTATTAAAAATAAATTAAAATAAAAATTTATGGTGATTTATTAATGGGAGGTTATTAAAAGGGGGAAAGGGGCAGATTGGATATAATTTTAAAATGGCTTTAATTCAAGTTTATATTTGTTATTATATATTATTTTAATAAAAAATTTAAATTATAAAACCCCGAATTCGGGTGAGTCAAATATCATTTTAAAAAAATAAATCTAAAATTAACATTTTTTTTTGTTGAAGTAATAAAGAGATTATATTAAAATCTATTACATACCAAGAAGAACTATATTATACTTTTACTTTACTTTGAATAGTAAATTTAAAAGAAATTTCATTCATTTTCCTTTATTGTCACCAAATAATAGGAGGAAAAAATGATTTTGCCAATCCTAAAATGTAACTGTTCATTGACGATTTAAAACGCGTCATTTACAAAGGGGATCGGCCAATTTGAAAAAAAGAATATTTTTTGTATGTGGATGAATGATAAATTAGGTTGAATCATAGAAATTAGAGAGCAAAAGAAAATAATTTTTTTTAGATTTAAATTTTAAAATAATTTTTGATATTTTATATTTTCCTAATTAATTTTTTTTACAATAATTGTTTCTTTCTTTTTCTTTAGGAATAATAATTTGTCTTTTTCGTGATTGTATTCATAATCGAATAAATTTTTATTGGCAATTGGTATTTGTAATAATTGTTGATGAACAGAATGATTAAATTTTCCCCTAATATCTGAAATATATTGAATTTTGTAAGGACATGGATTATGGTATCAGAGAGAAATCTAACCAATTATTTGATTGATATTAGATAGGAATAGAATTCTTATTTTTTATCTATGCAATTTGAATTCGTAAAAAAATTGTGAGTGCAAAAATAATCAAAATTATCTTTTAAAAAAATAATATAAATAATCAATTTTAAAAAATAAATATAACACAAAAATGAGTTATATATTTTTTTTCCAATGTGGAATCTCTTATTTAACAGTTTGAAAATAAACACAATCTGAATCTCTTTGTAAAGCAACCAGTAGTTAATAACATATGATTCATTCATTCATTTGTTTTAACGCATCGTTAAATTTTTTGTTTTTAGTTTATCATAATTTATTTGGAAATCATAATGATGGAATGGAATTATAATTTTTATTTTAAATAAGATATCTTTTGCATTTTTATGTGATACCTGTGTTATCAAAATATTGTCTAATTAAATTAGGTATTATGATCTGGGAAAAAATTAACTAAAATTTAGATAATAAAATTAATTCTCAGATCGCATCTCCTCGTCTTATTTCTTTCTAATATTATCATTAGCTCTAATAATGATTTTTTAACTAAACATAAAATTAGATCACCTAAATGTCAAAATTTATATGTTGAAAAAACAAAAAATGAAGGCTTCTTTTCTTAATATAATTTTGAATTAAGAACAAAAATTAAGACGAATTAATACATGACCTCATAATTTTTTTATAAAAATAATAAAAAATGTATAATTAGCCCAACACTGAATGATAATGGAAAATAAATAATCTTATTTTGGCAGATAAATTTTATTATAACCAATTTTAAGTTTAAACTTTTCAAACATTATTTTATATGTCAAATAATTTAGAACACAAAAAAATATGCGTTAGAATACGAAATATACTTTTTTCCCCTTCTCTTCGATTCAAAAAATAGGGTGTCATTTAAAACTGATACTTTAAAAAAAAAATTTTTTCATGGCATTTAACAGGAATTTTGATATTGAATTGATATTTTATAACCTTTAACTCCTTGCCAACTTTCTTTTTTTAAAAAGATATCTCATGTCACAGCTTGTGATATGTTTAGTATACTTTCTCTATTTGTAAGTTGTTTGAATAGTATTTTATAACAAATTGTTTAAAATGAGATAATGAGTAATGGACTTTCACAATTTTACAGAAAAAATAAAACATGAATTTATTTAATTTTAATAAAATCCTTCCATCATGACAAGATCGGATTATAAAGACCCCACATTTTTTAAAAATTAATAACAACAATAAAACGTTTATTATTTTGTTCCACTTAATCTATTTCTTTAACAGAGACCTGCAGAGGTACCATTTGCATGGCCTGGTCCAGTTTTTTAAAAAAATATATTTTCGGCCCGGCCCGTTTTATATTTCCAGGCCCTGCCCGGGTATAATTAAAAAATTAAAATCAGGTAACTGTTAATCATGCAAAATTTGTTTTGAGGATTTAGCGAAGGTAGAACCATTATTTACATTTATTTATTTCTATAATTCATTCACAATAAGTATCAGTTTTCATTGACATTTTATTCAGTATAATTTAAGCATAAGGTGCAACTTAATTACAAATGGCGATATATATCCCTTAGCTGGTCAGCATGTTTTCTTATTTCACGATCTGGGGTCTTGACTACATAGGAATATAATCCCTTTCTATCCTAAATCACCCCTTCTCTCCAACTCTTAGTGGTTTCATTCCTTACCCACACATGCTGACCAACGTCAAATTCCCTAAAATTGGAATGTGTATCACGTTCTTGATTTTGTTTATCATTGGCTTTATCAATCTCCTTTCCCACCTCTGGTCTAGCCCAGTCTAGATTAGTTCTTATTTGACGACCGAACATAATCTTCGCTGGTGACCTACCCGTCGAACTATGTTCTCCCAGCCTATACGCTACTATCGTTTGAGTCATCGCCTCTAGCGGGTCATTAATTAATTCTCGACTGGCATAATACCTTCCTTTTAAGGTTCGAATGGTTCGTTCCGCCTGCTCATTTGTCTTCGGGTGGTGCGAATGTGGCAAATGTTGTTTTCTTCACAAAATCTAAATTCTATTGAAATAAATCGAGGTTCATTATCCGTTACAATGCTTTAAGGTACCCCAAAGGTAGCAAACCACTTCTTTAATCTCGTTATCATCTCCTTCGCCGATGTGTTTCTCGTCAAGTCTACCTCAGCCCATTTTGAGTATGAATCTACTCTCACTAGCCAATATAAAGAGTCAACCGGTCCCGCAAAATCTAGATGTATACGCTCCCATGGCTCTTTGATACAATTCCATGAGTATAGTGTAACTCTATTACGTTCGGTCGATTTTTCTGACATCCAACACAATATACCGTTCTATGTCATCTTCGCATTTCGGCCACCAAGAATACAACCGAAAAATAGATTTCATCGCGTTCATTCCTGAATATCCCCGATGTAGTGTTTCCAACACTGAATTCCTAAGTTCCGTAGGGATTATCAATCTACCATTTCGTTCAACTATTCCCCTATTTACTGTTAATTCCTCTCGTTGGGTGTGAAAGATTACTAGCTCCGGTTCTTCTTTCCGATTAAAGCCTCTCCACCCTTGCTCAATATGTTGTGCCACTCGCTTTAGTATTGGATCTTTAATTGAATTCTTGCGCAGGTTTCCCTCTGAGACCTGCATATCCTCTAAGTTTATGTTCCGAAACGCCAATGCATGCTTGGTATCCCGATTAGGTATGATATCGTGGAGCGGTAGCCTAGATAAGGCGTCTGCTATAACATTCTCACGACCAGATCTATATTCCACGCTAAAGTCGTAAGCGGTCATCTTCCAGGCCCAACGTGTCAGACGATTGTTCGATATCTTTGGCAGATTCCTTTTTTCCCCGAACAACCGTTCCAAGGGTTTATGGTCTGTCCGAAGTATAAATTCTCGACCGTAGATAAAGTTGTGGAATTTTTCTATTCCAAATAACAATACTCTCGCTTCTTTATCGATAGACGCATAATGTTTCTCCGACTGTAACAACGTCCGAGACGCAGCTATGGGTTTTTCCCCGGTTTGTGAAACCTTATGAAGTAAAACAGCATCCAGTCCTGTATCTGACGCGTCACACTCCATAATCAACGGTAATTTAGCATTATACAGCATTAAGGTTTCTTCTGCTGATAACAATGTCTTAACTTTATCGAAAGCCTCCTGCTCTACATTAGTCCAACACCATGGTACTTTTACACTAGTCAATCGATGTAACACAGCTGCTTCTCTATGAAGATTGGGAATGAACCGTTCATGATACGTGACAAGCCCAATAAATGGACGTAACTGATGAACATTCTTGGGGTTAGGTGCGGCCTGGATTGCTTTAACTTTCCCTTTCTTGGATGTACCCTATTTTGGTTGATAGCGATACCTAAAAACGAAACAGATTTCCGTAGAAATTGGACTTTTTCAAATTTACCTTTGAGGCCTGCTTTCTGCAGCCTATTGAGTACTATTTTTAAATTAGCCAGATGTACGGCGTCATTTTTGCCGGAGATAATTACATCGTCCAAATACACTCCAGTCATCGGGCAATCTTTGAAAACATTGTCCATGTAACGCTGGAAAATAGTTGGTGCGCACGCAAATGACATCCTTCGGTATCGAAAATATCCTTTATGTGTTGAGATGACCAAATATTCTTGGGACTCTGGCTTAACGGCCATTTGTAGATACGCGTCCTTTAAATCTATCACCGTAAAACGCCCCCACCCCGAATCTTAACCAATAAGTCATCCAGCGTAGGAATAACGTGATGATCATATAATAGATGGGGATTTAAACTCACCTTGAAATCTGCGCAAATACGAATCTCGCCATTGTTTCTCCTGACATTTACTGTTGGGGTTGCCCATGGCACCCTAGTTATAGAGGAATCGATGGGCTCCAAAATCTCCGCAGCCACAAGGCGATCCAGTTTTAGTTCAACCGCTCTGCGTAACGGAAATGGCACTCGACGAGCTGGAAACTATTTTGGAACAGCCGTATCTTTTAATTGGAGTCGCATCGCGAAATTACGTATCAACCCCAGTTTGCCGTCAAAAACAGCTTTAAACTGTTTAGCTAACAAATGCCCCATTGAGTCTTCCGTTTAGACATCCTCGATCCGTGTGAGCATCGATAGTATTCGAAAGGCCCATCGGGGCTTCGGCCCGCGGGGGCATCGATTGTATTCGAGCGGCCCATCTATGCATTGTTGGTTTGGTGGCAACTTGATGTTATTGTTTTTCAATTCGTTTTGAGAACCTGTTGTATGCTTACCTGTCTCGGTAACTCAAACCCAAATGCTAAAATCCATGGCAACCCAAACAGAGATAGGTCATTTGAATTTATTATAATAACTGATAAATTGCCAATTTCCTTCCCCACTTGCACACGAACCATGGCTTCACCCATAAGATCCAAAGGCTTATCTCCATAGGCTGCTAATGGGTTTGTGGAAGATGTTAGTGGTTTGCCAATTTTCTCCCAAATATTCAATCATATAATAGAGGCTTGTGCTCCTGTATCATAATCAAAAGTGACACTAAGTCCATTTATTTTAACTGTGATCTTTGCCCTTTTATTTAATCCCCTTGTCCAGATATTATTAATTGAATCACTTGAGTGAAAATGTGGTTTCACTGAGTTTAAATTGCGATATACAGGCTTACTACGGCAACATTCTGCGAAATGTCCGGTTCTTTGGCACTTAAAACATGTTTTGTCTTTAGCTGGGCATAAATATCTTTTATGCCAGCCGGCACAATTCATACATTTATTATCGTAAAACTTGTTATTAGGCTTCCTATAATTATTGTCTCTCTTAACACACTATTGTGAATTAGGCATTTTATGTTTGCAATCTTGCGGTCTGACACTATTCACCAAGTCTTTCTTGATAGTCATTTAGTTTTGAGCATTTTCTGTTGCCGTGGCCATATCTATGAACTGGAACGTCAGGGGCTTTTTGTTCACATCCAATGCTAAAGGATATTTAGTCCTAAGTTCAAATATGAGAGATCTGGTAGATCTATACCCGCAACTAATTGATCTCTTAACCGGCCGTCAACTTCTGACGGCGTAAAACAACACTCTTTCGCAGTTATTTTGATTCTATTAGCGAACTCTCCAATTAGTTTATTCTCATTCCTAATTAACCTTATGAAGTCTAATCTACTACCGAAAATGGTTTTATTCTTCTCAAAAATATGTAGCGAGGCACTCCTTATCTTATCAAATTTAGTCGTTAAAATGGTTTCAGGAAATAAATATTGTTCGAGAATGTCAATGCCCTCAGCGCCAAAACTCACCATGAACAGGTCCTTATTTTCTTGATCGGTCGGTGTCCAGTTCTTTAGTCTTAACGTTGCGTCCCAAAATTGGAACCAACGCTGTATAGACCCATTAATTTGATATTTTTTAACTTATCAATTATACTAGTATTTTTGGACTGAGGCATAATTTATTAAATTAATAACTATTTTCTTACTTGTTTTAATTAGAATATTAGAATCCTCGCCGTCGCCACTTTAGCAAAGGTAGAACCATTATTTACATTTATTTATTTCTATAATTCATTCACAATAAATATCAGTTTTCATTGACATTTTATTCAGTATAATTTAACCATAAGGTGCAACTTAATTACAAATGGCGATATATAATTACACGTTAATAGATGGGTGTGCACATAATACATTAGGAAGTTAAACAACACCTATTATATTAATCGTAAATATATATATATAATCATATCTAACTGGCAAATATAATATATAATATAATAAAATATTACAATAGATTACTTCTTTACTACAGAGGAGACCTAGGATAGTGTTATCTTGAAGCAAGCATTCATATCATATAATTTTAAAGAAATATACCCTGTGATTTGAAATTTAAACAATAAATGTATTTAATAAGATGCAATGGTTCTTAAGTTGTTTGTAAAATATATCATATAAATTTTTGAATGCAAATTCAAATTTTAACACCATAAAAAAAGTAACTTTATATTTCCTTGCATTTTAACTAATATTTGATAAAGGTTACTCAGACTCAGGGTTGTATATTTGAGCGGTCAAATAAGATTCGGTCAAATATGGTCAAATTCAAATAAATATTTCTTAAGACAATATTAACTTTATTTTGTATAAAAAATAGTAAAATGAATCTATAATATTAATTTTATTATATTTTTTAAATTGATTGTCATTCAATAACTAATGTTTTGCTTTCCTTGGCAGAGTCTTGTTCTCATTCATGTTCAATATTATAATTTTCTTTAAATTTTTTAAATTAATTTTCCTGTTGTTGGGATCTTCAATCTATTTCTGTTTTAGTAAGAATATTAAATAAATCAACCAATTTTTTTCTGAACAGAACTAGGAATTGTTAGTAAAATGCCATTTCTCAATATGGGCATGGTGGGCAAAGCCTATTCTATAACATGAGCCTTGAATCTAATTGTTTCTTATGGAATTTATGCTTTCCACATAATTTACTGTTAAACCATACCTCCTTTACTCTAAAATTTATGAGATCTCTTGAAATATTTTGATCATCACTACCTTACCTAATGCTTGCTTAATATTACTTACTTCATTAAATTCATTACTAATAAGATGCTCCCCTTGATATAGGGACCCAATAAATAAGTATCATTGTGATTACATGCATTTATATCTATTTTTTCTTTTTTCAAATTACTTATTTTCTTCAGATTTTTTTAGAGTATAAAAAGATTGATAATATTTTTGCTAATTTAATATCCTGAAATTAACTTTTATTTAAATGAGAAAACCTGAAACAAGTTATGGCTGGGTAGTAGCCATTTTTATGAAGGAATGTATTCTTAATGAAATAGATTCACCTATATTTATAAGAATACTACAATCCACGAGTTTATCCAGGGCCACGAATGGCAAGACTTGCTTTTTGTAAACTATATGATAGTTTTTTCGGGTAATATATATAACCTGAATGTACCTATAGGGTTATGCCAATGACCTATCAATTGACCGATATTTGATAGATCAGATCAAATTCAAATAAATGTATTTTACGCCTATATTAATTTTATTTTGTATATATATAATATTATAATAAATCTATATAATATCATTCCATAGTGTAATACTATTGTTGTTAAATAATATTTTATTTTAATGTTTCAATAATATTATTTTCGATTAGTATTTATGTTTACTGTTTACGGCTATATTTTTAGATTGTGATATGTAAATTGGACATTAATTTATATTCATTTTAATTTTAAATCAAAATACATACATTGTATATGAATTGGAAATGAAAAATTGACATGAAATTTTCTTAAATAAAATTTATTTTGAATAAAATTGAATTGCAGAACATTTTAATACATTCGATTTTTATTGCAATTTTCTAGCTTTTCATACATTTGATTTTTATTGCAACCTTCCCACTTTGCAACATGATGGAGGAGAGAAATTTTATCAAAGTCTTGAAGTTCTATTAAAAACATTGTACCTGAAATTTTTAGCGGAGAATATTGTTGATGAAGCCACAAAAAAATATAAACTGTTCGAAACGATCGATAAAGAGATGGCGGTTAGCATTATGTACAATTTATCGTATCAACAAATGAAAAATTTATATAAAAAAAAATTGAAAAAAAAATTACACTCTTTGAATTGTTCAATTCAAAACCTGACAGACTTGAGTCTTCCAGAGAATATCGGACAGACTTAAAGGTTGTGGTTAGGGACTGAATTCGGAATTAATTTCGGTACAATTCATGATAAATTGTCTTAATAAAAAACTTAAAGCAAGATTGATAAAGAAAAATACGACGGATCTAAACATTATTGATGATATTGTGGTCAAATGTCAATCGATGGAAATAAATGATAAAGTGCAGAGAAAGATTCATGGAGAAGAGATGATGGAGCGAAATGGCAAGCCAGTTTGGCATGGAAAGAAAGCAAGCATGTTTTTAAGGGGACCAACAACAACAACTTCAAAAAACAAGAGATTAGACAGACACCGTATAATCTGAGGTCAAGAAATAAGATTAATTTTATGAATGATTTTATTATTGACATGCAATTAAATAATATTAATTTCCCATTATAATAGATACTGGTTCTCCGGTGACAGCATTGCCGATTAAAGATTTCGGAAAGCTCATGAATCATGAAAATATTGAGTTGAAAAGTTGTTCTAGGAAGTGATCCTCTTATGAAGGTTTTCCCATTACAGTAGTTGGGAAAGTCATTGATTGTAAGGTTAAATGGTTAAATATTATTAAATATTTAGATTTCTATGTATTAGATGGGATGGGACCACCCTTATGTGGTCAAGATTGTATTAGAGAATTTGATATAATCAAATGCAATTTTGATAAAAACATGTTTAATATTAAATTTTTATCTTTTAATAATTTGTGTTCATATAAGGATAATATTTGTTAAGTGTAATAATGGTACACCCAGGGTTGTGCATTTGACCGGTCGAATACGATTCGGTCAATTGACTTATATTTGACCGGTCAAATACGGTCAAATTCAAATAAATGTTTTTTACGCCATTATTAACTTGTATATATATATAATATTATAATAAATCTATATAACATTAAATTTCATAATATTTTTTTAATTCATTCTATGTTTCGTCCTCCATAGAAGAGTCTTGTTCCGGT